AGTCAGACGACCAGCTAGAAAGTGCTTCAGAATTTTGGCTCGGGCAGTCAACTATTCAAGACACTTAGAGTTCTTCGCATCTTCGTTCACCTCCTCAAGAGAAGCCTCCAGTTCAGTGACCTACTTGCCCTTCTCTTCTAGATCTTTCTTTAACTTGGTCACCTCTCCCTCAGCAGTACGGAGCTGTCCCCTAACAGTAGTCAAAGTTGTGCGAAGACCATTCATGAATTTCTTTCTCACTAAAAATAAAGTGGCCTCGCACAACCAAAAGATCTTGAAGAGCCTGTAGAAGCATGATCACGACAATTAAGTGTCATATGACAGTCAAGAGACAAAAAGATATGACACAAAAGAAATTAAACCTACATTAAGTTGGAGCGACACTACCTCACTAACAATGTTAGGGGGCGACATCTTTCCTAAACGCTTCTAAGTCGCAGGAATAAGGAGTTTCTCAGCAGAAGTCTAAAGAGAAGAAGACATGGCGTCGCCCGATAGAAAAACAGCAGGAACTTTTAAGGCATATTCGTGCTTATAGACACCTGATTGTGTCTCCCCAAACACCAAACCTAGTGATGGGTACCTTTCACGTTTTGGTTGACGAGTTCGGTGAAGAGTTGAAGAGTCTCGCGAAGTTTCCTTAATCCTAGACCATATTTCTAACCTTATCTAAAGTGTGTTCAATCCCAAAACATTTATTTCATATCTTTGAACCCCAAATCATTCGTTTCGTGTCCTCAAAACCTTTCATTTCTTGTCAAAACTATAAAAAAAAACGCCCAATCTGATTATTTTGATGCATGTTCTCAGTCCCATTATTATTTAAATGGATGGGGATTGAAACAAATTTTCCAACGATATATTATAAGTCCGAATCCGACTTAAAACGAATGAGTTATTACCAAAATACTAAACCGAGCCCAAACCGAGCCTAGGTCCACTTTTAGTACGACCCAATGATTATATGGAGTCCAAATATTTTATTTAGGTCCTATATGATCATATTCCTAATCCTAAATCAATTATAATCCTCTAGAAGGTTCTAATTTATCCTTTCCGAAAAGATAAAGATCAAAGAAATTCAGGATTGAATGAAACTTCTCTTATGATAATCCTTATCCTATTCAAATTCAAAGACGTTCGGATATATTTCGCACCGAAAACCCATCAGGAACCAAACACTGTACGAACTTTGCTTTCCCTTAGAACCATCGCATAGCAACAGGTCCAACGCGTCGCGTCAATACTTTCGCGACACAACAAAGGTCAACGCGTCGCGACAAATTAAACTTGTCGCGCCGCGATGGAGAAGTTTTATTTCATTCTGAACTTCTGATCGTTTCGACTCTCTTTTTAAATAGAGGTCGTTTTTCTAGTATTAAAATCAGTAACAATCATCAAGAATCCTTAGCTACAAGCACCATATTCATCTACAAGTTCCTAAACATCGATGTTCTTAGCCTAAACACATTTTTGACACACCCCAATCATACACCATACTTCCCTTGCGTGATTCGTATACTCCAAACCCCACTTAACGTTGTCTTCAACCTCGATGTGAAAGGTTGATAGTTATGAGGATTTGGTCCCAAATCTTTATTTCAATTCTTAAATAATTTAGTTTATTATTTACTTTATTGATTTCGTTTTCTTGAAGTTTACTAACGTGTGTATTGTTTTAATAGCAAGAAGGTCGAGGCATCAAAGTAAGTAATTTGATTACTTAATTATTCTTTTGATTTGGAGTAGAAATCATGTTTAGGATAACGCTTTTATTTTTATTTGTAGTATCATGTTTAGGATAACGTGTTGATTTTGTTACTAGTAACATGCTAGGATTGTTATTAATCTGTTTAGTATCATGCCTAGGATCTTACTACTATCGATATTTTGATGATATTTTTGTGATGATGATTATTATGATAATCATATGTTGCTTGATTATACATGATTTATTGTTATTGCTTGATTACGTCCTTTTCTGGAGGCTTAAAGGAAATTTGTACTTGAAATAAATCAAGCCTAATAAGATAATTAATAATTGGATTTAGGATTAATATGATTTTAATTCAAGTGATCACCAATATTAGATTTAATTGTGCATTAATAATTAACAACCATAGATTAAACAGGTTTAGGATTAATTTGATCTATGTATGTTGATCGAAAAGCGCGCATGAATATCAATAAGAATCAAGTAGAGACCTACTTTAGGGCGAGCTTGACCTCTTTTAGGTTAAGTTCGTACCATCATCCCCGAACATCCAGTCATGGTTCCGGACCACTATGGAGTTAGCAATTTCTGTGATTGTGAATGGGGTGTAACCTTCATAATCTTGGATAGTTTCCAAGTTCATTAAACTTATTGGCAACTCTTTTTCTCTAGATTCTTTTTCTTGGAGCGCCGCTATGATTAAAAACATGACCCAAATGTAGGGTGGAGGTGAAAAATTCCCTACAGTGCTTCTTAGGCGCTTTAGGAGGAATCTGTAATACCCCGTATTTTTATACGTATATGAAATTAAAGTATTATTTTTAAACTATTTGTCATGAATTATTTATAGTATGTATTTTAATAATTCAAAATGGTTTTATTTTATTTAAACATCCATTTAATTTATTTATTTGTTTTGGAAATATTTTATTTTATCAATTAAAAACTTTGGGCCATATTTAAATTATAAAAGGAAGTTTTAAAGTCAATGGAGTTTTAAAGAAGGTCAAATGTCAATTTGAATGGGAATAGGAATCATTAAGGGAAAAAGGGGGGAAATTAAGTTAGGAGGGTTTGAGAGGGAGTATAAATACCCATCTTATGAGAAAATTAGACTTTGCCCAAGGTGGAGAATACCCAAAGGTAAACTCCCTTTCTCTTTCCTCTTATTTTCTTCTCTCTCCTTAATTTTTCCCCCTCCCTTACAAACACTCTCACACACGCACCTCACGGTGGTTGGCCACCACCACTGTAGCCACCCACCGGCCGGCCACCGCCACCAGCCAGCCACTAGCGGGAGGCGCGGCAGTGCCGTGTGTGTGCGTGCGTAAGCCTTAAAAAAAAACTTCTCCTTTTTGTTTTTATTTCAATCTATCTTTGATTAATTATTAATTATGGGTGTGTGTGATGATTTTATGATGTTTTAATAATGATTAATATGTATATAATTTGCAGATTTGATTTTTGAATTAAAAAGCCCCAAATTGTTAACCCTAGGTTTCTAAATTGATGTTTATTGATGAAATTTGGTTGTGGTTGATTAAAACTATTGAAATTAATGTTTTTAAACTAAATTACAGCAAGTTTAAGAGTTTTTATAATGCTGGAATTTTATGTAGAGGCTAGAATTATGTTTCTTGAAAGGATTTTTAATTACCCAGTAATTAGGAATAAAAGTAGGTGATTTTAATTAATTTTCAGCATGTTTTAGAAGGTTTAAAAGTGTTTTAAAGAGTGTAGATATTGCTGAATATTTATTATGAATAGGTATTAATGTCTATTTGTAATTTTGGGTCGTAGGAGATTTCCAAGTGAGTGATTTTGTGTAGTCGTGGCGATTTTAAGATCATATTCGAGGTACGTTCGCGTACTAGGTAATTATTTAAGTGTGTAGAAGCATGCTAGGATTTATTTAATTAATTCCAAGGTAGTATCATGATAGGTATTGATTGGAATTATTGGTTGGATTGATTTTGGTGATTAATTTGTGAAGCATGAATTATTTGAGGTGAATTCTTGATTAGAATTAATTATGTTGGCATGTTGAATATGGACCACACTTTTATTATTGGCATGATCAAGAGCATGTTTAATTAAACTAAATGTTTAATTTGGTTTAGATTGTGAAAAGGGAATTTTATTATGGTTCATATAATTTTTATTGATGCTATAAGCATGAGAAAAGAGCTATTTAAGTGTCTATGTACACGAGGACTAACTTATATTTTGGTGCCTAAGTGCACTTAAGGTGTTCCAAACGCTGAGTGATATGATTTTGGTGCATTATGCGCTTAAGGTATTATTTAACGCCGAGATAATTTAAAAAGGGTTCAACATTAAATTAAATGTGGTCACTAAATATTCAAGAACTAAATTTGTATGTTTGATTGCTTGAATGAATTATGTATGTTGGTTGTTTTATGATTTGAGAGTTATCACCAAGTCTAAAATATGTACATAACGTAAAGTGAAAGAGGTTACGCACCAAAACTCTTGGAACGTATATACCTTGAGTATGAACATATGGGGGGGAGTTATGCAACTTTATAGTTGACCATAACTTCTACTGGGAGTACAGGATGCTGTATTTTCCTTTTTATTATTATGCCCAGGAATTCCGCCACTTACGAGTGGTTCTTTTGTATTGGCACGGTTAGCTCCCGTGTTAGTACCCCTTTAACGGCGCAGCTTAGGGAGAAACTCGTTCGATGCGTAATCAAAATTAAATAAGCAATGTAAACGTTTATTAAATGAAAGGTGTGTTGTATGCTTGTAAACAGGTGCAACAAGGTAAATTGTGTGATGTTAGGATATATGTATGTTAGTGTGAATCGTTTTCCATTATGTACTCAGCATTGCTGATTGTGTGTATTGTATGTTTGTTGGCCTTGTCTTTATCTTGTCCCTATGATAACCCATTTCTAATGGCGAGTAGATAGGACAAAGTAAAGAGAAGTTTTTCAGGTGATGGAGCATTTTCATGATGGGCATGAGTGAATAGTGAATCTTGTTTAGTTTCCATAAGAATATGATGTGTTTAATTTTGTTTAATTATTATATATTTGCTTGTGAGACTAACATAATGATTTTAATATTCGTTTGGATTTTGAAAAGCGCCTATAATTGTTCCAAGTTGTAGATTGACTTCGTTTGACTTACTTTCGTCTGGTTTGACTTTTAAAGTTGACTTATTTTAAATGGTTTTAAAGAGAGTCTTCCATTGTGTGTCTTTGATAATTGTCTTAGCCGTTTTCACGGTGGCGGTAATGTCTTAGAATTTCCTAATTCGTATTTTAAAAAGGGGCAGATAGGTATTTTAAAGGAAAGAAATTTCTAGGGTGTTATAAAATCTCCTTAGAGAGAGGCGACTTGCGAATCTGGAGTAGTTTGGCATCCAAAAATTTAACATCATCTTTAGCAGAAGGAGTTTGCTTCCTCTTCTTGGAAGCCCTCTCCACCATTTTAGCAAAGGACATCACGCTTTTCTTGTACACTCCAGACTGACTACCTGAAAATGCGACGAAAGGTCAGGATAAGCCTCAACAAATAGGTAACTAATAAAAAAGAAGCAAGGCATTACCTGAAGCCATGTCGTGATCACTATCTTCTTGTTCTTCTTCCTCCTCTACTACAGCAGCACCAGAATTGTCAGCAACAACAGGATGTATGAAAGTCCGATCCTTCTTTACAATACTTAAGAAAGCCTCCACTTTACGCAAACTCTTCCTCCATGGAGTCACGATAGCAAGATTGAGCTCTGCAACAAAACAAAGCATAAGGACACACATCAAAAAACAGAAGAAGAAAAGCGATGAGAGATATGAGAATACCTCTGTCGCGCCAGCCACACCGGATACAGTTCGCATCTTCACTCAAGGATTCTCTATCTACAAACACATAACAGGACTTTCACGCCCGGTCATTAACTTAGCCAACCCTCTCAACCAGAGGTGGATGGACCCTTTTCAAGGTCGCAGTACATCGATTATTTTTGGTAAGTTGCAATTTATAAGCATGAACCAAGTCCGACAAATCGAAAGGCTCAACCCAATCTGTCGTAACTTTTTCAATGACATGAGATACCCTCCATAATTAGGGCATCACCTAACTAGGGCAAAGATCTAGGATTTCCATCAAAGATCAAGACAAAGGGCCAAATTGGTAAGTAAAACCAAGCCTAAAGGGGTATTCGTACATCACCACTTGTCCTGAAGGACCGTCTTCAAGCCTCTCCTCTTCTCTAGGCATTTTTATCACAGCACTCACCGGCATCCCTGCTAAAGCTATGAAGGAAACCACCTTCTCTTCTATAATGTCACTCGGAGGGTCATCAATTTCCACCATATCTGCTAAGATTTTACTTTCTGTTCTTTCTAAAACCCTAAACGGAAATCTAGTTGTTTGAAATTTCGCTCTACTAGGCATAATTAAGTTACAAATTGGCAATAAAGTGAAGTAGAGGAAGAGAAATTACCTGACAGAGTTGCTCGGAATCGCAAGCTTGAGCTTCGGCGAAAGTCACATAGTTCGACTTGAAACCCTTGGAGAGAGAATTGAGAAAATGTGAGAAGGTTTGAGAAAATTAGGGAAAGTTGCACGAGTATTTATGCAGGTTAGGGGAGAAAGTTATGTTAGTTTTAATTGTAATAGTGGGGGAAGTTGGCTAAGTATTTGTTCTCTTGAAAATTGCCCACAATCCAAGATAACAAATGGGGGCAAATTGTTATGGTCAAAAAATTAAGGCTAGACGCGACATAGGATGCGTGGTGCGATGATAAGCAGCGAAATTTGAGGAAGTGGTTCTAGCTATTGTTATCTTCTCCCGGCTTCCAAGGATCGAGTTTATCTTCTTCTAGTCCAAATGTCCTTTCAAGTCCAAGAGTAAAAGATAGGGCCAAGACTTAGTCAAATAACCACCCTCCTATTTCGTAGGGAGGTGGGTATTATCTTCTAACGACACTATTAGCTAGGGTTTAGTTCAGCTGGCTCTAGTTATAAATAGCTAAGCAATTGTACTCAATAGCTACATAATTCTCACGCACTCAATGCTTTCTCTAACGCGCTAAACGTTCTTTGTAATCGTCATATTCATAGTGGATCGGTGGTATTGCTCCAACCCGCAATTATTCCCACGATTTGGGTTTTCTGCGTCATCAAAATAGCTTGTTCTTTACATGTTTTTGCTTAGATTATTTCCCGAATTATATCTCTATATCTAGCCGTCGATCGTCCTAGCCTTACGTCGTTCTTAGGAGAAATTTAGCATAAACAGATATCCTGATATATCCCTTTTAAAACCTCAGTTTTCTCTCTATAAGTGCATTTACTTAACCACTAGAAGGAATTTTCGAGCCGCCCTTAAGGCAGTTTAGCTGGTCAATTAGTAGTATCACCTCAGACAATCGTAGCGAATCATCATACATTATAGTTAGGAGACTACGTACTATGATAATAGCTTCCCCCTATTAACTACATGTACGTAGAGATCCTTCATTCGAGTTTTGTATAACCTTAGTGAAGTATAAACAACAAGCTCACATGATAGTATGAGACATGACCGCAAACACTTGAGAGTAGAGGGGGAAGGTAAGGGAATCCCTCTACTCCCAAACAATTGTAGTTGGTGGGGCTTGAACTTGTGACCTTAAAGTCACAAGATGAGTTTCCGACTAATTCCACCAAGCTTTGCTTGGTGCTTTAATCACTATGTGATCAATTAAACTTGACGTAATAGTCATAAATCATACTACCTCCGTTTCTGAAAGTTCAACTCACTTACTATTCACGTGGTAAAAATAAAATATGTTTGACCACAGTTTATGACTTATACAATAGAAATAAATTAGCATGTGGGACCTTATTAGATTCACCTTATAATAAAATTTACAAATATCAACTTTTTGTAATTTTTACTCATACATAGCCAAAGATATTCACGGTCAAAGATGTCCATTGAAGACCGCGCAAATTCCAAGTGAGTTGAATTTTCGGAAACAGACGGAGTATTTAACATAGGCATAATAATAATTGTCTTTTAAAATATCATGTTTTCAAATAATTAAATAGTGGAAACTTCGTTATCAATCATAAATTTCAATATAGATAATTAAACATGCTTCTTAACTTGTATAATAAATAATCATGGACGGCGAGTCTTACATCTTACATATTACCTCTCTTCTCAAAACTTCGACTGCACTTATCATAGACTATTACTTTTAATTTTGAAAGTTTGGAAAAAGGGAGTATTTGTAAATTAGAAAGTTTGGAAAAAGTGAGTATGGGTAAAATAGTCATTAAAACAATTGGTATAAAAAATTCATAACATTATTTTCACAATAAGAATAAAGAATGCTAAAAATTATCGTATATTAACAAGGAAAAATTTCCAAGAAAAAAATAATCTGAACTTTCCTCCGTCAGTCCAAAATAATCTCAAATTTCTATTACTTTTTAATAATCCCAACTTTATACTTCATCCGCCCAAAATAGTCCTAAGTGACCGGTGACCTGTTAAACATGTAATTTTTTTTTTAGATTTAATGTACACACGTGATTGGTAAAAAAAATGAATTAATATTAATATTAGAATTATTATTATTATTAACTAATTAATTAACACTTTTAAAAATAAACTAATTAATCTAAAATAAAAAAAAACACCACATCCCTCAGCATCGCCCCAAGCCTTCCCTCCCGGTCGGCGCCTTCCCTTCCCCCTCCCCTTGCCGATATCGGACCTAGCTACCCACGGTCGGTGCCACCCTTACCCCTCTCTCGGCCGTCAGCCCTCCCCCTTCCCCTTAAACCACCTAACCCCAAAACCCCACGAAACAACCTTAAAGAACCCTCCCCACGCTCGACTTTCCCTCCCCCTACCCTTGAAACCCTAGCCGCTATACGAAACCGCAAACCAAAACAACAGTATTACGAACTCCGAAGGTTTTCTCACGGTTTATATCGGAGATGCCTTTTTCATGTTCAACTTAAGTGCATTTCCTAAATCCCAAGACTTGGTATTTATAGCCTTGGCATCTCTTACTCCCTTGATATTTTATCAAGGTGGGACTTGTGATAAAGTGATAAAAATGGCATTTAATTTAATTCTAAACTAAATTAAATACTAAAAACAATAAGCAAACAACACTTGTCACTATATTAGAGAGGTTAGGTAAGAACCACTTATCATGCCTTGGAGAAGAATTGAAGCAAAGAGCCAAAACCCCAAACACACTCCCATATGGCCGGCCCCAACCATGGGCCTCAATGGCAAACCCAATCGACTGCCATTGTCCACGGTTAGGCTGCCACGCTCTTGCAGCCCACACACTAGGTGCTAGCGGGCTGCTTCTAGCCACCACACGCCCAACAACTATGCGGGCTAGTGCGCTAGCAGCCTGGCTAGCTAGCCACGCTCGCGCGCATGGCGTGCTGGGTTTGCTGCCATGTTGCGCATGGTGGCCCAGCTTAGCAGCCATGCTAGCGCTATGTGGCTATCAGCCCCATGGCCTAGCCCACGCATGGCTAGCATGATACTAGGCCAATGCGAGGCTACAACTTTGGGGTTTTGGCCTTGAGTCGTGTTGTTTGATTATTTTGTCGTCTCGTCAATTCCTAGAATCGACTCGACGTTGTACGCTCGACATCGACGTTTGATGCTCGGAATCTGACGTTTGAGTTCGTAATATCTTTAGTGACGCATTTAACCCTTCGGATTAATTCGTCATCTTAGTTTGGTTACACGATTGGGTGTGACCCGCAGGGTTCAGTCAAGAGCAAGCTGTAATATTAATTATATCAATCTTACTGATCAAAAGTAGCCTCGAGCTAGACATTTAGATCAATTGACTTCATTGAATAATTAGCTTCTGAGCCTAATTAATTCCGAACCCTCTATTGGAGTAATACACTTGTTCGAAGCACACCATTCTTTTCAATTTTTTCTATAAACAAATATAAGGACTTAAAATTATTCTTAAAATAAAATCAAAAATCCATGTACTCTGTCCCTATTATGTTGACACGCTATTAAGCTGGGGTCATCGTCCCTATTAAGTTAATACTTCTATTCCTTTCCTAAAAAGGAATCATAAAATATTGTGTGGGTCTGTGAGTCCGACCATCTAGAAACTTTAAATGATTTTAGGCCTATTGGGCTTTGTAACTCCATTTCTAAGCTTGTGACTAAAGTCAAACCCTTGCTAGGTGATCTTATTAATCCGGTGCAATCGAGTTTCATTGAAGGGAGATCTATTGAAAAAAATATTCTCGTTATTAAAGAGGTGGCTCATCTTTTTAAAAAATCTAGTAAGAAACATCTAATGGCCTTTAAAATTGACATATCTAAGGCTTATGATAGTTTAGAATGGCGTTTTATTAGAGAGACTTTAATAGGGTCAAATTTTCTAGAATCTCTTGTTAAGCTTATCTTGAGTTGTATCACTACCCCTTTTATTTCCATTTTATGGAATGGATAACTCACGAATAGTTTTACACCCTCAAGAGGGATAAGGAAAGGTGGCCCTCTTTCCTTTGTGTTATGTCTGGAAATATTATCTCTCATGATTGAGCAAAGGGTAGGTAATGGTCAATGGAGTCTAATTAAAATAGGTAGAAATGTGAATATTTCACATCTTTTTTATGTGGATGATGTCTTTCTCTTTGCCAAAGTTTCGGTGAACAGTGTTGAGATCATTAAGCAACTCTTTTAGAGTTTGGTTCTATTTCGGGCCTCTTCATTTGTCCCATGAAGTCTAAGGTAGTTTTTCTGCCTAAAATGTGTCTTTCTCTCAAGGTTGCCATTCTTAATACTTCTAATATTAAGGGGGCTCCTTCTTTTGGTTAGTATTTAGGGGTTAACACATTAGTCCTAATTGATTGAAAAAATATGATTATGTTGATCTTCTTAATAAAACCAAAGATAGAATTAAAGGTTGGCAAGCAAAACTTCTTAATATGGCCGAAAGAAGCACTCTTATTAAGTCAGTCCTCAATTCCTATCATCTTTACGAAATGCAATCTGCTCTCATTCCTTGTGCTATCCTAGATGATATGGAGAGAAGTTGTAGGCGTTTCCTTTGGAATAAAGTAGATAGGTCTCATTATCTCCTTAGGGCTAGTTGGGATAAAGTGTGTCTTCTTTTCGGGATGGGGGGATTGGGAATGAGAATCCTTAAAAATTGGAATCTTGCCTTCATGGAAAAGCTAGGATGGCGCATTATTTACGATCTGGATAAACTTTGGGTTAGGATTCTAAAAGCTAGATACTTCTCTAAGTCCACTTTTCTCAATCGTATTCCTAGCCATAGGGATTCTCCTCTTTAGATGGATATTTTAAAGGGGAGGGAGCTTCTTTTAAAGGGCATTTCTTATAGATTAGGGAATGAGAAATATATTTGCCTTTGGTATCATCATTGGGTGGGGAGTAAACCAATTTACCTCACTATTGATAAGCCCATCCTGGGTTACATAGCTCATTGGAGGGTTAGTAATATTATTTTGAATGGTGAGTGGAACACTAGTAGAATCAAACACATCATCCCGAGCTATCTTTGTGAGCTCATACAGAGTATTCCTCTTCCAAAATTTGCTTCGATTAATGACACCTTATGTTGGGGAGTGGAATCTAATGGCCAATTTTAAATAAAAAGTGCTTACAACCTTTGCTCTAACTTCACCACTCACCACTCCTCTCCTTGTACTCGTTGGAAAAAAATTTGGCCCCTTTATGTCCCTTAAAAATATAAAATGATCTTGTGGAATCTAAGTCACCAAATCTCTCCAATGGGTACGGTTTTGTCTAATAAAATTGATAACTTTGATTCTTTGTGCACTAGGTGCAACTTAGAGAATTAGAGCCATTTTCACTTATTTAGCGATTGCATTAATTCTAGAACTCTTTGTCTAGAATTTTTGGAGGAAATAAAATGGATAAGGAGTTCAATTATCACACTTTCTCCAATGTT